GTTAGTCATTTCCTTTCTTTTCCACGATGGTCCTGTGCAAGCTCTTTCCATTCACAGCCAGTGGGGTATCATATTCTTGCTTTCCAATGCAGTATTTCCAGGAAAGTGTTGGGATTATTTTTTATACAAACTTCTCTCTTGTCATTTAGTTATTTCATGCACACAGAAATTCCAAGAGATGTGTGAAAGAGAGAACTGACATGAGCACAAACACTAAAATAAACTGTCGTTTTAAAAATAGGGAAATAAAAGTGGTATGGAATTAAGTGAATATTTTTCACCACGAATCACTAATTGCTTAAGAAGATAATGTTCTTTTCATAAATGTTCATTCAAGGGCAAAAAACGTCAAGAGCCATTATATTGATTGAAAGTAGACATTTTTAACAATAAAAAGGTTACTCTAATAGTACTGTCAAAAATGTGGCTTAGTGACAAGCAATAGGGAGACAGTCTGCAGGTATTATGAATAACAGAAGCCCAGACCTTCTGTAATTCAAGGCCATGCCATGCTTGGTGTAGGACTGCATTACACTACATGCATGGAACATTTGACATCCCACTCCCCTGTGTGGCAGAGAAAGCCAAGGCTCAGTGCCCTTTGGAAAATCAAGTCACTCCTGGCTGAGAACTAGCCTTCAAAATTAATTGTTTTAACAGAGTGATATACTAGTAAATTAATATGAAAGACCATCAAAAGTGTGGCATGTATCTATTAGAAAATGCCATGCTTTCTTTGAAATAGATTAGCTGCTTTATAATACTTTATTTCCAGGGTTCATAGATAATTGTTGTGTGAAAAGGAGAGAAAGAAAACTACCAATCACACAGCAATACATAAGGAAGGTGTTTGCTGGGGGCTTGGCACACTGTTATGAATACTGATGATTAATGCACCCATATGAGAGATGTGAGGTATGAATATGGACATAATATGAAAAAGAAAATTTAATGCAAACTATGACCATATGCTATAGGCATTTCCAGCATTCATATTCATGACACTGCGTTTTTCTTTAAGGCAAGATATATATGAGCTTTCAAATTTTAAAAGTTCTGCTTTATTAAGGCATTATCATGTTCATTTTACAAATGTTGACATTTCCATCCAAGCATATGCTGATTTTGTTTGTAGTCACCCATTCTACTACTTTTCCCACTTCACACATTACACACACACACACACACACACACACACACACACACACACACACACATATATATGGAGTGAGTCTCTCATGTATTGGATTTGGGGGCACACGGACATGAAAATAAAAGGGAAGCAATTAGTATTGTTTTAAAAAATTATCTCTGTAGTCACAGTGATCTTTGGTATGGTGTCTAGCTGTCATCACTGTACAGGATCACTATGTGGGATACAGTGAGAATGTTTGGCATGTGTGTATAATGTGTAATAATCAAATCCCACCATTCAGCATGTCTAGCTCATGATATATGCATCATTACATTGTGCTGGGATTCTTCAAATTCCTTTTTTTCTAAATTTTAAAACATATTATAAGACGATATGTGTTTGGTTAGAGTATTCAACTACATTTGTTTCTTTTTTTTTTTGGTTTTTCAAGACAGGGTTTCTCTGTGTAGCTTTGGAGCCTATCCTGGCACTCGCTCTGGAGGCCAGGCTGACCTCAAACTCACAGAGATCCACCTGCCTCTGCCTCCCGAATTCTGGGATTAAAGGCGTGTGCCACCAACGCTGGGCCATTTGTTTCTTATGATTATAAAATTATATACATAAAGGCATGTGTATGAGTTACAGTTGCCTTACTGTGCTTCAGGACATTAAAATTTATTCTGCCTATGTAAAAGTAGTTGGTACCCACTCTATAGTCTCTTTCTATAACCGTTCTTCTCAGCTTAGCCTCTAGTCATCACTATTTAAATCTTTCCTATACTGATTTTAAAAGATATTTTCAATTTTTTGATTCACAGATATTCAGTGCACATATTAAAGACATTCAGTATATTCTAGCACATTTACACAGCTGTGTAAAACAAAACTGAATGGAAATCTAAAGAGATTTAAAAAGATACAAAATACCAATGATTTGGTGATATCATCATGAGTTATGAACTCAAGATTAAATTGACAAGGTGTTTTCTAAAAGTTCAGAGCAAGGAATTCATCAAGACGTAATCTGACTCATATAAAGATCTGGTCATGCAGGTAACCACAACAAAGATGAAGTGAGTTTAACCGAGTTGCAAGAAGAATGGAGGCCTTCCACTCAATGGTGGAGGGTAATATCTCTTTCAATATATTCCTAAAGGACTTTCAGTCAATATAACAAGGAGATGTTTTGTCATCAGAGTTTATGGCTGCGTTATTTAAAATAGCCAAGTTCTAGAATCAGCCTAAGTGTCTGTAAACAAGAAAATGGATAAGGAAAGCCTGGCATGTGTACCCAATGGAGTTTCAGTCAGCAGTAAAGTAGGATAATGTTGGGAACTGGAGAGGTGGTTTGGTGGTTTAGAGCAGATAATGCTCTTGGGCAATGCCTGAATTCAGTTTATTTTCCATGGGTAGTTTACAAAATGGAAATCTGGGGTCAACGTCTACATTAGGGCAAAGACGCTCAGTCCATTTTGGCTTGTAAATTTATTTTCAGAATTCTTACTTGTGATATAAGACATTCACAGCACTGGCTCTCATGAAATATCTGATGAAAGCATGAACGTCTTTGACTTTGACCAAGCTGCAGTAGTCCAGGATTGCTAACTGTCTTTACAAGTAGGCTGCACCACACCCTGAGAATATGTAAGCAGAAAAATGCCTATTTATATAGATTCTATGTTTTGGAATACCTATGCAAATCTGGTTTGTGTGCACATGCACTTTTCAGTGGTTTTGCAGAAGCCATCATTTTTTTTTTACAGTTTAAGTTCCTGATTATCCTTATTGCATAAGTATTTTCCACTCTGCTCTCTTGCTTTCATTTTAATGTTATTTCTATTGGAAGGACATAATTTAATTAATCAGCCTCTTATGGTGGAATATATTTGTTGTTTCCACATTTTAACAAAATAGTGCTTCAATAAACATGTTACAAAACAAAGTTCAAATCATTGAAAGTTTTGGGCAAATTCTCCTGGATTTTGTGGATTAATCAGTGAGGTTAGATGGTGAGGAAGGCTTAGTGGAAACAGATTCAGAAGGCCATGGTGGGCCATGTATTTTTGTAAACAAGCATTTCTCAGTGCAAAGGTACTATACTCCTCTATGGAAGAGTTATTCTTATAATGGAAGAAGATCCCAAACATCAATAGTAGTTAGTAGGGCATCCATTTCGATTCATAGCATGCCTCTTCAAGAAACTGACATGCAAGAAAAACATGGTGTGAATGAGCCTCTCTCTGTCTTGCAGTTTAACAACATTCAGACTACTTTATTGCCCAGCTTTCTCTGAACCTGCACCCATCTCCCCTTGTCTTTCTCATTGTCTCACTGGTGACTTCAAACATCTGAAACAAACTCCTATCTCTGGGTTTGGCACTAGCAGGGTGGGATTTCTGAAATCAAGCTACTGGCTACCTGAAGTCTCTGTTTCAATGTTATCTTCCCTACTGTTCTTGTCCTGACATTTATAAAATTTGCATCCTCCATAGTTGAAGGCAGAGGTAAGGAATGGTGAGTTTAATAAGCACAAACCTGAGGTTTGATCTTCAGGCACACTTGTGAACACACACACACACACACACACACACACACACACACACACACACACACACACCACGCACACACACCACGTGCGCGCGCACACGCAGTTACACTGGCATACACACACCCTTCCTTGGGATGTAAGTCTCCTTTTCTTTTTAAAGCACTATTTTATAGTTCTTCTTTGAAATTTTCATACATGTACATAATGTAGTTTGATCATATCACCCCAATTCCCTGTTCTGTCTTCTCCAGGATCCAGCACATCTCCTTCCCAACATTCATAGCCTGTTTTTAAAAATAACCCATTAAGTTCAATTGGAATTTCCCATGTGTGCATGGGTATAGGACCATCATCTGGGATGTGAACAATCTGATAAGTGGTCACGACCTGGCATCCATAAACTGCCAATACCTCCTTTGCTGGGAGGAGGCCCGGTAGCCCCTCCCTAGTCCATGCTGGAATTTTTAATTGGCCTGATCTTGTATAGGCCTCCTCTAGGTAACAGTCATATCATATCATGTCATGTCCCGCAGCCAGCATTTCCCAGATCTCCTCTGCAACCTCTAGTTCTTTGTTCCTTTTAGCCTATCATCTTTGATGTTCTCCGAGCCTTGGATGGTTGGAGGTTGATACCTCATCTGCATCTCACGGTCATTTATTCTCAGTGTTTCCACCAGTTTATAAAGCTCTGCATTAACCACTACCCACAGCCATGAGAGTCTTCTCTGATCCAGTGTGAGAGCAGTGCATATACGTTTAGAAGGCAGTTTCACAAAACAATCATTTAGAGGAGTAACATCAGTGTGTTCTCTACTAGGAACTGTAACTCCCATAGCCAGGTTTATACATCAATTTCACAGTCTTTCCCATGATTTCCTTCCTGTGGAGCAGGCCTTCAATCCTAACTTTTAATACCAAGTCTCACACAGTTGTAACCTGTGTTAGTATTGCACTCATAGCAATCTTCTTGCTTCAGCCACCAAAGTGTCTGGATTACAGGTATAAGACACTTAGCAACAGCTTCTAATTGTTTGGTGTCTGGAATATGGTCAGTCCTTCCTATATATCACTAAGCTGTGAAAAGAAAGTTCTTATTAAATCTGTAATATACATAACCTCTCAAGGAAAAGGGCTCAAGAGGGACAGGGAGGGATTCACCCTAAAATAATTGTCATAGCACACAACGTCCTAAAAGGAATACATCCGTGACTCAGTGCAGAAATTAAGTTATTTGTTAAAATTATAAATGTGTGTGAGCAATATCTTCTTATGAGGAGAACACCTACGATGTTTTCTCTTTCTAGTGAAATACAACACATGAACTCAAGTAACAAGACAAGAGTTTCAGAATTTCTTCTTCTGGGATTTTTAGAAGACAAAGACTTTCAACCTCTTATTTATGGTATTTTCCTCTCCATGTACCTGGTCACTGTCTTTGGGAATATGCTCATCATCCTGGCCATCCTCTCAGACCCCCGGCTACACACACCCATGTACTTCTTCCTTTCCAACTTGTCATTTGTGGACATTTGTTTCATTTCAACTACTGTCCCAAAGATGCTGGCCAACATCCAGACCCAAAACAAGGTCATCACCTATGCAGGGTGCATCGCCCAGGTCTATTTTTTCCTGCTTTTTGTAGAATTGGATAATTTCTTACTGACTATCATGGCTTATGACCGTTATGTGGCCATCTGTCACCCCATGCACTACACAGTAATCATGAACTACCAACTCTGTGGATTTCTGGTTCTGGTGTGGATTTCTGGTTCTGGTCTTGGATTGTAAGTGTTTTGCATGCTCTGTTTCAAAGCTTAATGATGTTGCAGCTGTCCTTTGGCACACAGCTGAAAATCCCACACTTCTTCTGTGAACCTAACCAGGTGATCCAACTCACCTGTTCTGATACTTTTATTGATGTTCTGGTGATGTATTTTACACTTGTGCTGCTGGCTACTGTTCCTCTTATTGGTATCTTCTATTCCTATTTCAAGATAGTCTCCTCCATACGTGCAATCTCCTCAGTTCAGGGGAAGTACAAAGCATTCTCCACCTGTGCTTCTCACCTCCTGGTCGTCTCTTTATTTTACTGCACAGGGCTAGGAGTGTACCTCAGTTCTGCTACAAACCACAGCTCACAAACAAGTGCAGCAGCCTCGGTTATGTACACTGTGGTCACCCCAATGATGAACCCCTTCATCTACAGTCTTAGGAATAAAGATGTTAAGAGTGCACTGAAAAGACTCTTTGGGAAAAAGTTATAAGGAGTCCCACGTCTCCCCACCTGGTGTCCTTCCTAGATTCACATCATCTCCTTTTTTACTTTTCCTTTTGTTATTAATAACCTTGTGAGGCCAATTAGTGCACTTGGGCATGTGGTCTTCCACTGGGGCATGAGCAATCTACTAGTCACCACATCCCCAAAGGAGGGAGACTCCTGGGACCTGAGACTCGGGTCAGACGGTAGAAGAACTTGTTCCTTCTGTTTGTTTTCTGAAGTTCTCACTACTCAATTTCAACTGCACATAACAAGCAACTCATTTGATTAAGATGTCTGCTTTCTGGTACTGAAACAATTTTCCTGGTGGCCCATCTCAAAGCTATTGCAAAATGACATGAGAACCATTTAGAAATACCCATTAATATAAAGGGCAGGTATACTTTAAAAAACATAACTTATTCCTGCAGGCCTATATTTTTATTGAGGAACATTTCTTTGTTTCACTGTGGATTCCATCATGAGATTAATTATACATACAAAACATTTGTTAAATATGTAATTATGACTAAATAAAATTTTTCTCTTTTGCACCTTTTATTCTTTATCTTATTTATACTTTAAGTTTTCTTTTTCACTCTCTTATTCCCCCTCTCTGTTTGTGTATCTCTGTTTGTGTATGTGAATGTGTTTCTGTATGCATTTGGGCTCACATGTACATAGGTGCATATGGACATTAGTGCATGCACATGTAGAGGCCTGAGGCTGATGCTGGTCATCAGCCTACATTTCTCTTTGACTTTGTTCATTCTCAAAGTTCTGTATCCAGCATGCCCTGGGGACCTCCTAACTCCATCCATCTGAGGATAAAATTAGAAGAAAGCTGTGATGTTCTCACTGCATTGTTTGGGTTCTGACAATTCAAATTTAAGTCCTTACCTTTGCTTGAAAGGCATTTAACTATATCCCCAGGCTTAACTTTTTAATAAATAATTTAATTTTTAAATTATTTTTAGGATTTTATCTATGTACTGCATTTACATGATTCCTACCCATTCTCCCTCCAAATTCTCCTGTGCATTCCATTCCTCAAATTCATGATCTCTTATTCTTTATTATTGTTGTCATACAATATATATGCACACAGATGAGTGTTTCCCACCTATTTAGTTCACTTAGTGTTGTTCATAGGAGTGATCAACCTATTGGGAGATTTGTTCTTTGAGAAGACTAATTCTCCTTCTCTCTATTCATGGGTAATTGGCTAGGTTTAGGGTACCAGATGTGAGTTTCCTCCTATGAATGAGACTTAAGTTCAATAACTATTGGTTACTAAGTGTCACTGTTATGTTTGTGGGTAGGAATTGCCTTTCTGGTCATTGTTGTGGTTCATAGACTTTGCAACTGGGTAGTACTACTGATTGATTTTTGCCCTGGCATCTTCCATGGTTCCTGTAGAAGTAGATGATGTCTTCAGCAATAGAACCTTCCCTTCATAGTCTGGGAGGTAAACAAGGGTGTCATCTATAGCCTTAAGTGTTTTTATGCTCTTGATAAAGAATTCAAAGGGAACTTTTCCACTCCTGACACTTCTCACTAGAAGTCACAGCAACTAGTGAGATCATCCTCACTGCCATGTTGTAATTTCATTTAAATTGAATATATGTAATATATTCAATGTATATATTAATTCACATACACACAAGTGCGTATGTGTGTATGTGTATAGTTTAAGTAAACAGAAAATGATTCCCTAGGACATTTACAAACACCCTTGTTGTTATTTTGTTATTTAGCCTCTCTCTTAGCTCTGTGTTGCCCTCCTCTCTCTCTCTACAGGTAAGTTCCCTGCCTTTTAGTTTTCCCATTTTCCTTTTAAAGTGCCTCTGTCAGAGTAGGTCCCCTCTCTAGAGATCTTTCTCTGCCTTATCTCTGCCATGGCCATTTTTAAGAACTTTTTTTTCTTTTATTGAAAAATAGATTCCTTTCTCATGCAATGTATCTTGATTATAATTTCTGTTCTCTGTACTTCTCCCAGTTCCTCCTCATTTCTCCTCCCCTCTGGATCCACTCCATTTCTGTCTCTCATTAGAAAAGAACATGGTCCTAAGAGACAACAATCAAACATGACAAAATAAAATATAATACAATGAAGCAAAAACCATTTAATTGAAGTTAGACACAACAACTCAACAGAAAGAAAGGAATACCAAGGGCAAGCACAAAAGTCAGAGACCTATCCATTCTCCTAGTCAGGAGTCCCATAAAAACACTAAACTAATAGTTTATACATATACATATATATTCACATACTTAGACACACACACACAGACTATATATATATATATATAGATCCATGTAGAACATGTGCTGTGGATTCAGTCTCTGTGAACTCAACTGCACCTGACTTGATTGATTTAGAGAGCCTTGTTTTCCTGATGTCCTCCATACCCTTTGGCTCTTACATTCTTTCTGCTTCCTTTTCCTTGGGGTTTCCTGAGCTCTGAGGGAGAGATTTGATGGAGACCTCCAATTTAGTTCTCTCCATTTAAGGTCTGTCTGTATGTCTTACATTTGTTGCCATCGCTGACAGAGGAAGCCTTTCTGATGATAACCGGATAAGGCACCAATCTATGAGTGTGGCAAAATACCATTTGGAATCATTTTATTGATAATTTTAGAGTAGTGATGTTTGGTTTTACCCTAGGTCTCTGGGCTATCTAGTTTCTAGTTCTTGGTTACCCAAACACTGTTGGGTATGGGTTCCTTCTCATAGAGTGGGCCTTAGGTCGGGTTACAGTTAGGAGGCCTGGGCAGTCTATGGGACCTCTAACAGTGGAGCCAGTGTTTATCCCTAGAGCACAAATGGACAATGAGAGCCCATTCCCTGTGGAGGGATACTATTGCAGCCCAGATACAGGAAGGAGGGCCTGGGCCCTCCCCTAAATGATGTGAAGGACTTTGATGGTCCCCCTGGAGAGCTTCACTATTCTTGGGAAGTGGGTGGGGGTGGGTTGGGAGGGTCAGTGGGGGGGGTATGGGAGGATGGGAGGGCGAGGGAATGGGGGATTGATATGTAAAATAAGAGTGCTTCTAAAACAACAAAAAAAGATATGTTGGCTTCTCCCACAAGTTCTGTGCTACCATTTCCCTAGCATATTATCCAAGCAGGGCAGATTGAACATCAGAGATTTTGTAGCTGGGTTTGTTTCCATGTTTCTTTTTCAGTAGTCTTCAGAGTACCTTTCTGCACCAAAAACTTTAGAATGTGGATATTAAGGGTCCATGTAGACTCACTTTACTTCTCTACATTAAATGAGCACTTTGGGATGCTGATCTTCGGTAACGGGACCCTCTGTCATTTTTCAGAAAGTAACAGCCTAGGTTATTTGGAGATTTCCGTGGGACTTCTTGGCTTAATGGTAATTTTTAATTTTTTTCTGCAGTTACTTCAGGTTATACACTCAAACATAAATATTCATATTTGGGATCCAAAAATAAGAGAAAATATATAGCTTTTGTCTTTCTGTGCTTGGTATAGTATTTTCTAGTTCTATTCATTTGCTGAACATTTCATGATTTCTCTTTACAATGAATAATATTCTGTACTGTGTGTATACCACATTTTCATTACCCATTCACCAATTAAAGAATATTTAGATTATTTCCATTTTTAACTATTGTAAATATAGCAACAATAAACATGGCTGAGCAAATAGCTGTTGAGTAGGATGTTGAGTTCTTATGGCATATACGAAAGAGGATATCTGGGTCTTGTGGTAGATTTACTTTTGACTTTTTGAGAATTCCCCACACTGTACCAGTCTGTAATTTTGGGGGGCTACTTTTAGTACTTTATATAACTATTCTTTGCCTATGTGTCCAGTCTAACATTCTGTGATTAGTTCATGAAAATCATTGACAATGGACTAATTCATCAAAATCCTGGTTTCCACCAACAAAAAGGCTAAGAAGTTATCACATAGCGTTGGAAGCCCATGGCATTAAAAAAAAATCCCCTAATGTTTCTACCAGTGTTTTTGTTTGTTTGTTTGTTTGTTTGTTTCAAGACAGGGTTTCGATGCATTGCTTTGGAGGTTGTCCTGGGACTCACTCTGTAGACCAGGCTGGCCTCAAATTCACAGAGACCCACCTGCCTCTGTCTCCCAAGTGCTGGGATTACAGGCCTGTGCCACCAATGCCTGGCCTTTTTGTTTTTATAATTTATCATTTTAATTTTATGTGTATTGGTATGAATGTGTCACACATCCCCTAGAACCAGAGTTACAGACTGTTTGAAACTGCTAAGTGGGTGCTGGGATTTGAACCCAAGTCCTCTGGAAGACCAGTCAGTGCTCTTAACCACTATGCTATCTTTCCAGCCCTACCAGTGTATTTTTAAAGTGCCTTCATGTATGACTTTCTTTATTCTGTTACAGTAAAAATTTCATCAAACTGTTATCATGTTGGGACATGGAATTTTTGTAACCTAAATTTGTATTTCTGGGTCCATGTTCCTCATATTCAGCTATATAATAACTGGCGTCTTATCCTCTTTGAGGTGAGAGCTGTGATTTTTGTCTCAACACATCTTTTGAGTAGAATTTATTTGTTCTCATCCTGACTCTTATTTGCTTTCTCTTACAACATCTACTTTTCCATTTCACTAGTTCATATTTTAAATTTTAATTAACACAGTAGTTGTATTTGCTTCTGAAAGAAAGTGTGAAATATTAATAAATATCTATAATGTATAATATATGATAGCACTTGTAATTTCTTATGCATTTAAGTTTTTGAATCCGCACAGAATAAAGAGCATATTTATGATATTTCAGTCCATCTATACTGTATATGCCAATCATATAAAGGTGATTGTATCTGCATCTCCATACTATATTCTACTTGGACTCTTCAACCTCCTCATAAAGACATATATTAGAACAACATTAAGAATCACTCACAGAAAGAAAACTGCAATGTGACATTTAAAAAGTATCTCTCTAAACCCAATTCTTCTGCCTTTCTCCTCTTGATTGGGTAAAC